AAGAGTCGAGCGTGGTTAAAAGTCAATGGATGGGATCAAGTCAGCAGTGAACACACAGAAGAGAGGGAGGAAACTGACATTGTTTAGACCCTGAGAAGGGCAGAAGGGAAGTGTTCCTAAGAGATGGAACAGCCATCGACGGGGAGAAACACCACGTCTGGCCCTTCCAGAGAGGACGTGGTTAGTCTGTGTGTCCGTGGAGAAGAAGTTTTGTATTTGGTGACAGGAGGGTGGGGGAATTTAAATAGATGACTTGAGATGTATCTATAAATTATGAAACAAGAGTATCTAGTGAGAATAAGGTGTAAAGGAAAGCACTGAGACTTGGACGGCCTGAAGGGGGTTTGAAATAGGCATCATGAACCACAAGAGAGAGAAAACTTGTGGAGAAACCTAAGGGATTCTCAGGCAGTTTGGGAGTGGTCATTATGAATTTAAAGTTAAACCACCAAACTCTGTTTTGTAACTTTCCCTAGTTATACCTGATTAGTCACTTAAAATGTGGGGTCAGCCACATTAGTTTGCCAGGACCGCTTTAACAAAGTACCCCGGACTGGGAGGCCTAAACAACAGCAATTTATTTTCTCTCAGTTCTGGAGGCTGGAAATCCAAGAACAGGTTTCATCAGAGTCGGTTCCTTCTGAGTTCCATGAGAGAAGGATTTTGTCAGGCTTTTCTCTTTGGCTTGTCGATGATTGTCTTCTCCCTGTATCTTCACATCTTCCTTCGGTGTGTGTCTGTATCCAGATCTTTTCCTACAAGTACAGCAGTCATATTGGATTAGCGCCCACCCTGTTGATCTCATTTTAACCTAATCACTTCTATCTCCAAACGTGATTATGTTCTGAGGTACTGGGGTTAGGACTTCAGCACATAACCTGTACATGCGCTCAAGTTTCCAGCTAAGAAAATAAAAAGAAAAATCGTACCAACATTAATAAAGGGAGGGAAGCTGAGAGGGGAAATCAGTTGATGAGGGAGCAGAGAGAGGGAGGAGGAGACTGACTGTATGTCCTCGATGCGACGTCCAACGGTCCTGTTTGTTGACTGGCTACCGATAGTGCAGGTTCCAAGGAAGATAATGCAATGGGAAACACGCCACGCTTGGAATGATAGAATGTCCCAGAAACTCTATCTTGAACATTATGGTTACATGATTTATCAGTCTCCAGCCTTTGGTGTATGAAAAAGGTGAGAGAGAGCGAGAGAGAGGCGCACCAAAACCACTGTGACCACAGTGAGAACCCAGTGAACCATTTTTTATTTAATTCATGCCTCTTCAATTAACATTTTCTGTTTTACCTTTCTCTCAGTATGCCTGGGATACAAATGAAGAATATCTCTTCAAAGCGATGGTGGCTTTCTCCATGAGAAAAGTTCACAACAGAGAAACAACAGAGTAAGTAAATAGTGAAAAATCTTAATTGATAACTTGCAATATTACTCGAGATAGTCCGTTAATTGAAAACTCAATCTTGAAGATAATTTATTCATCTGATTTTTAAGATATCCACATTTTTTATTTAACATTTAAAAAAACTTGTAATCTAGCTCAGCTTACAGTTTATATCATGTTCCAACAACATTCTTCATTCAGTGGGCACTATGAAGACATATTTTAAAATTGTAGTTATATGTCATAGGCTTTCTACATTTCTATTGTATACATATTTCTCTTGTAGATAGGTAGACAGACAGACAGACAGATAAACAGAGAACTCTACTCTCATTGTATTAGTCAGCTCGGGCGGCTGTAACAAAATTCCACAGACTGGGTGGCTTAAATAACAGAAGTTTATTCCTTACGGTTTTGGAGGCTGGGAAGTCCAAAATTGTGGTACTGGCAAGGTAGGTTTCATTCTGAGGCCTCTTCTTTTGGCTTGCAGGTGCCACCAGATTGTTGTGTGCTCATATGACCTC